TGCAGCCGAGGTGGAGTCGCGGAGGAAGAGGAGTGTTGGTATGGCGATGCGCCACTCGCCCTATCCTCCGCGACTCAGACGGGGCCGCACCGTTGAATGATGCGGTGGTGGTGGGGCTGCGGGGGGAGAGGAGTGTCGGTATTGCGAGGCGCCGCTCTCCCTACCCTCCGCAGCCGAATCTTGGTTGGCGGCGGAGCCATAGACCAGATCCGCCGCTGGGGTCGGGAAGGCTGGTGCTTCTTAGTGCTATGTCTTAATGCGCATCGGACACGGGGGCGTCCGTTGCGCATTAGAAATTGGAGGCCGAGGAGGAGGGCGCACCATGTGTTCTGGTGCGCCTTATCTGAGAAGGAGATGGGGGAGGAGTGTTCCTCTCCCGAGGAGGGGCCGCCATGGGACGGCCAGCGCAGGTGGGGCCGCGGAAGTGTGCGAAAGCGTTCCCGTGGCCCTGCCAATATGCGACGAGGGTGGAACACCATGGGGTTTTAGTCGGTGCGAGTCCGACATAACCCGTTCTTGCCCCCGCGAGGCGGGTATGCGTAGGCATTTCCCCATGTAAAAAAAAAAAAAGGTTAGGTTAGGTTAGGTTAGGTTCCGGCCCATAGTGCTGCTCGACGAGGCGGGCAAACTTTTTGAGCGTATCATCGCAGATCGCCTCGTCAGCCACTTGTGCAGAGAGGGGCCGGACCTGGATGACAACCAGTTTGGTTTTCGTCGCGGGCGCTCCACCATAGACGCTATTACGCGCGTGAGGGCCCTGGCGGATGAGACAGTATCCCGGGGTGGGGTGGTGCTGGCGGTGTCCTTAGACATCTCCAACGCTTTCAACACCCTACCCTGGAGTTGCATTCGGGAGGCGCTGAATTACCATCGCGTGCCTCCCTACCTCCGCCGCACAATAGGGGCTTACCTTGAGGAGAGATGCGTTACCTATTGGGGACGTGACGGCGCTGGTCGGCGCGTCATGTCGTGCGGTGTTCCGCAGGGGTCGGTCTTGGGACCGCTCCTGTGGAACATCGGCTATGACTGGGTGCTGAGAGGTGAACTCCCGTCGGGCGCCGAGTTGACGTGTTATGCGGACGACACGCTCGTCACTGCCCGGGGGAGTTCGTACAGGGAAGCAGCGTTGGTTGCCACGGCTGCGGTGTCACAAGTGGTGAACCGCATCCGGTGCCTGGGCCTGGAGGTGGCCCTAAGTAAGTCGGAGGCCATGGTGTTCCATGGCCCTCGACGCGCGCCGCCGCCGGGTTCACACATCGTGGTCAGCGGGGCCCAGATAGCTGTCGAGTCCACCATGAAGTATCTGGGGTTGGTGCTCGACAGCCGATGGGAATTCGGACCCCACTTCCGGCGGCTGGCGCCCAAGCTGTTGGGTGCAGCGGGCGCGCTATCAACGTTGCTTCCCAACTTGGGGGGCCCGAGCGCCGCCTGTAGGCGGTTGTACGTGGGAATCGTGCGGTCCATGGCCCTGTATGGGTCTCCTGTGTGGGCGATGGACATGACGGCCAGCACTCTCGCCATTCTGCGTAAACCGCAGAGGGCGATGGCCGTCAGAGTCGTCCGCGGGTATCGCACGATTTCCTACGAGGCGGCTTGCGTCCTGGCCGGATCCCCGCCCTGGGACCTAGAGGCGAAAGTACTCGCGTCATTATATCGATGGCGCGAGGAAGAGCGGGCACGGGGCTCGAGGCCGGTGCAGCGGCAGATCGCGCTGCGCCGAGAGGAGCTCCGTCAGGTCTTGGTGGCGGAATGGCGGCAAAGGCTTCTGCGCCCTACCGCCGGCCTCGCTACCGTCGAGGCGATCCGGCCAGTACTCGACGATTGGCTCTGGAGAAGGCACGGCTCCCTGTCGTTTAGGGTGACGCAGGTACTGTCGGGGCATGGCTGCTTCGGCAAGTACCTGCGCCGCATAGACAGGGAGCCGGACGCTCGGTGCCACCACTGCGTCCATTGCGGGGAGGACACGGCGCAACACACGCTCGCCGAGTGTGTAGCTTGGGAGGAGCAGCGCCGTGTCCTCACAAATAAAGTAGGAGGCGATCTGTCGCTGCCGGCCTTAGTGCAGAAGATGGTCGGTAGCGCAGAGTCGTGGGATGCAGTGGTGTCCTTCTGCGAGGACGTGATGTCGCAGAAGGAAACTGCGGAACGGGAAAGGGAGATCTCGACTCCCTTCCCTGGCCGCAGAAGGCGCACCGGGCGCAGGAGAAGGGCGGACAACGCCCTTTTCCGGCCCCCATAAATGGGTCCAGGGGCGAGGGACTTGGGGAAGCCCCCGCCACCCCTACTCGATGGACCCGAGGCGGAGGCGCGCGCGGGTGTCGGTGCGCGCCCCTGAGTCGATACACGGGATAGTTTAACACCTCACTACCCCGTGCAGGAGACGAGGCCTGGACGGACCGGGCCAGCACTAGTGTGGGGCTGCGGAAGAATTTGGATTCCCGCGGCCCCACGCGCACGTGTGAGGAGACACCGGGGTGGTTTTAGCCGGTAAGAGTCCGGCACGCCCCCCCGCCTTTCCCCAGGCGGAGGTAGTCCATGAGGATTTCCCCCCGTAAAAAAAAAATGGTTAGGTTAGGTTAGGTTTTTTTTTTGTATGTTTCGCTGTTTCCCTCTGTCATGGAGGTCAGAGACATTTTTAACTTGACACGGACTTTGAATTCTAAGTTTTATTTTATATCTTGTCCTTGATATTATAGAGGATGTAGACAACTCCGGGTTTTCGTTCGGGAGTCCTACTACTCTTAATCTATTTCATACAGCAATATAACATAGCTTTTACTTATTGATACCTCTATATATATTACACAGAGATCAGGGACTTTTCCTTATTTAGGTTCTTTTTTCTTATTTTACATATATCTAACACCCTTAATACATTTATATCTACATTTATCATTTTGCTTTGATCTACTTTTTTGCTAGATTGGTGGAGCTGTTTACATTATATTCTAAAATATAATTTACAAATCCCTTAATACTAATTTTATTTATTCCTCTTAATTACCTTATTTGCTATTAACTTACAATAATTCAAAAACCTACTTCTATTGTGCTTATTACTTATTATTTCACATATATTATCCTTATCTACTTTTATTCCTAATTCCATTTCTATGTTATTCCTTTCCTTATTATACATGGGACATACTGTTATTATGTGCAATACAGTTTCTTCTTCATTTGGATCACAGGGACATGCCGGGCTCTCCCGATACTTGAACCGATGCAAATATTGTGAGAACCCGCCATGTCCTGTCATCACTTGTACCATTAGTGGGTCTATTGTTAGCTTTCTTATAATAGGATAGGCGCTTATGCTATCTGGGAAAAATGTCTTTGTTACAGAGGCCGTCTCGCCTTCCATGTAACGTCGGTTCCATTCGTGAAGTGAGTCTTGTCGGATCTGTCTCTTGACGAATGAAACCGGGCACTTGTCATATTCCGGTTTTATTTTTATTTTTAATGCGGCTTCTTTTGCTAATTGATCTGCTCTCTCGTTTCCCTCCAATCCTGCGTGTGCCTTAATCCAAAATAATTTAATAGACTTACCTTGTTTTTGTGCTTCCGAAATATTTTTTCTTATTTTTGCCGCTAGGGGATGGAGAGAAAAGGTCTGGACAACTTTCTGGAGAGCAGATCTTGCGTCGCTATAAATATTGCAACTCTTGGCCTGATCCTTAAGTGCGTGGTTTGTAGCCTCAAATATGGCCAGCAACTCCGCCTGGTAGACTGTGCAGAAGTTTTCCAACTTTAATTTTCGGGTACTAGGCTCCGCTGCGTCATTCCATATAGATAACGCAGCGCCGACTTTCCCCTCGATCTTGCTGCCATCCGTGTAAATTTTTAGACTTTTATTATCATGTTGTTCAACTTGTGCACAGTCCTCCAGGCATGTAAATTGCAGCCCATCCTGATTCGCGGGGTGAGGTGTTTTACAGTATTCTACTTTTCTCTCCACATCTCGATCCCCTACCACTCGCTGGGAGAAGCCTTTCCTTATTTCATAAAGCAAGGCTGCTTCCCGAACTCTTAGGTCCAGGGGAAGCAGCCCAGCGAGCAGCAGGTCCGAGTGTAGTGATACGGTTCTATAAGATTTTATAATTTTCTGAACGAACCCCCGTTGTACCATGTCGAGCTGCTTTTTGATTTTTAGCTTGTATGTTGCCGGTGCCCATACACTAGCCGCATACAAAATAATTGGCTCCGTCACCGCAACGTAAATGGTCCTGATAATCTCAGGGTTAAGGCCCCAATTGATCTTAGCGGATCTCGATAGCTGGCAATATAGGTTTTGTACCTTACTACACACATTCCTCACATGTGTGTTGAAGGACAACCTGTCATCCACCGTAAGTCCGAGTATTTTCATTTCCTTGGACAATGCAATATCTTCCCCGCCAATTTTCAGAAGTGGTGAGTCATACTTTATCTTATTCGTAATGACCATGGCTTTCGTTTTTTGCGGCGCAAATTTAAGCTTGTTTTTGACTCCCCACTTCTGAACACGTTCGAGGGCTGCATTGGCTCTATCCTGCACTTCCGATGCCCTGTCCCCGGAGAAAATCAGGACCACATCGTCTGCGAAAGCCTGGCAATATTCCCCTTTGCCGTTTAACTCCTTTAATAGTGGGTCAAGGAGCAAATTCCAGAATAAAGGCCCCCTATAGAACCTTGCACACATCCCTTTGTAGTCTTTTTGGCCCATTCCGCTCCCGTGTACCTGATGCAGACTGTTCTATCTTCCAGGTAACTATCTATGAGGCGCCTTAAATTTATCGGACACCCCGTCTCTGCTAGTCTGCATTTTATTGCCGGCCACCATGCGTTATCGAAGGCTCCCTCTATGTCCAAAGATACTAATATGATCAGCTTTTTCCTTTTTAGCTCATCTTTTATGATCCGTATCATGTCATAGAGGGAGTCCTCGGTACTGCGCTGTGGCATGAAACCATATTGTTTCAGGCTGATTTTGGGTACAATGTGCCATTTAACCCTTCGAACTAGCATCTTTTCAAAAATTTTCCCAGGACAGGAAGCAGTCCAATCGGTCTATAAGACTTGGGATGTGTGTAGTCTACTTTCCCCGGCTTCCGCAGCACCACTACTACTGCCTCTTTCCATTTTTTGGGGAAGTATGCCAGACTGAGACACTTATTGGCCAGCGCCAAAAACATTGTTGGATCCAGAGTAATTGCTACTTCACAGATGTCAGCCGTGAGACCATCGTATCCTGGTGCCTTTTTGGGGTTGAAACTAGACACAGACCACTCTAGCTCTTCCATCGTAAAAGGTGGGTCACATGAATCATCATGTGACCCTTCATTTACTACTCTCGCTAACTCTCTTGTCTGTCTGTGTTCTGCATTATCATCCTTAGTGTTATCTTCCGGATAGAAAGTCTCAGCCAGAATCTTTGCTGACTCTTCGTTTCCCATTGTTTTTCCGTTTAGGGCAAGGGGAAGATCTTCCTGCCTTTGTTTTGTACGGCCTATTACTCTATAAATTCCGTCCCACATTGACTCTCGCTCCTGTCTACTACAGAAGTCCTTCCAGCTGGAAGTTTGTGCCCTTTTGACTTCCCGCTGGTACTCTTCTTTTGCGTTGAGGTACTGCTCCACAACCCACTCTCGACGAATTGGAGCTGCGTATGATATTCGACGTTTTAGTCTGGAGACTTTCTTCTTGTGTTGCGTTAGTTCTTCAGTCCACCAGGGCAATCCCATACGTTGTTTGTTTTTTAATTTGGGTATGTATTTTTCACATGTCTCTATTATTGTTACTGTGACTTCTTCTATTTTTATTTCAAGTTCTTCTCTGGTGTCTATTTTATCTATTTCTATTTTGTTTATTAATTTACTGCTCCAAAGCTGGAGGAGTTTCTCACGAAACTCGCTCCAGTTTGCCTTCTTTGTGTTATATTTTCTAGTTGTTCTGTTTACATCTGTACCTACTGATTTTTCTAAGTTTATGTCAAATAAGATTGCCCTGTGATCCGAACTGGTTATATCTTCAGATAGTCTCCAGTTTTCTACCCTCCCAAGTAGGCTCGTCGAACAGGTAGTTATGTCAACACAACTGGAGAATCTTTTCCCACCCCTGATGGTATCAAAAGTGGGATCAGTTCCCCTGTTGAGTATATGCAGCCCCAGTTCGTCGAGCTTGGCAGCCACCTCCATTCCTCTACTATCCGTTTCCCGGCTTCCCCACCAGCTATTCCATGAGTTTACATCTCCACCTAATATCACGTTCAAAGTCCCCAGAGCCTCCACGGCCTTCTCAATCGTGTCCAGGTATTGGTCTATTGGCTTGTCGCACTCCAGGTAGACAGACACCACTCCCATCTCCCAGGTCCCTGTCCTCAGCTTGGCGACTGCTATGTTTTTCGTTGTAAGACCGGGACACTGGGTTATGTTAATGGCGTCGTCGAACAATACAATGGCTGCCTTGATCACCTTTTCGGTATTGGGTTCTCTGTGACATTGTATTATTCGTGTCCCCGGGTAGTACTTCATCTCCCCAATACGACCTATGTAGGGCTCCTGGACCAGAGCGAACGATATCTTTTTCCAGGTCGCCTCAGCAATCATTTCGGCCGTGGCTAACCTCACTACCCCGTGCAGGAGACGAGGCCTGGACGGACCGGGCCAGCACTAATGTGGGGCTGCGGAAGAATTTGGATTCCCGCGGCCCCACGCGCACGTGTGAGGAGACACCGGGGTGGTTTTAGCCGGTAAGAGTCCGGCACGCCCCTCCGCCTTTCCCCAGGCGGTGGTAGTCCATGAGGATTTCCCGCGGTAAAAAAAAAAAAAAAAAAAAAGGTTAGGTTAGGTTCCCCCCCGAACGGGTTCCCGCCTTGTCGTGGCGGGGGGGCTTAGTAGCCGTGGCTTGGTCAACCGCGGTGAACAAAGAGGAACCCCTTGGCTGGCCCGAGGTGTAGGGCCGGCCCGAGGTGGCCACTCCGAGTGGGCTTGGGAAGCCTACTTCGGATGTGTGTCGGGGGGCTGCGGTGAGAGGGGAGTCCGCATCCTCTACCGCTGCAGCCGAGGTGGAGTCGCGGAGGAAGAGGAGTGTTGGTATGGCGATGCGCCACTCGCCCTATCCTCCACGACTCAAACGGGGCCGCACCGTTGATGCGGTGGTGGTGGGGCCGCGGGGGGAGAGGAGTGTCGGTATTGCGAGGCGCCGCTCTCCCTACCCTCCGCGGCCGAAATTTGGTTGGCGGCGGAGCCCGAGACCAGATCCGCCGCTGGGGCCAGGAAGGCCGGTGCTTCTGAGTGCTAGTTTTTCCTGGCCCCATGGCCTTCGCGCATCGGACACGGGGGCGTCCGTTGCGCATTAGAAATTGGAGGCCGAGGAGGAGGGCGCACCATGTGTTCTGGTGCACCTTACCTGAGAAGGAGATGGGGGAGGAGTGTTCCTCTCCCGAGGAGGGGCCGCCATGGGGCGGCCAGCGCAGGTGGGGCCGCGGAAGTGTGCGAAAGCGTTCCCGTGGCCCTGCCAATATGCGACGAGGGTGGAACACCATGGGGTTTTAGTCGGTGCGAGTCCGATATAACCCGTCCTTGCCCCCGCGAGGCGGGTATGCGTAGGCATTTCCCCATGTAAAAAAAAAAAAAAAGGTTAGGTTAGGTTAGGTTAGGTTTTTTTTTTTTTTTTTTTATTTGTATGTTTTGCTGTTTCCCTCTGACATGGAGGTCAGAGACATTGTCAGCTTTGACATGGACTTTGAATTCGTGTTTTTATTTGCTTTGTCCTTAATTTTTATAGAGGGTGTAGAGGACTCCGGGTTTTCGTTCGGGAGTCCTACTACTCTTAATCTAAAGCATGTAACAACATTTGTCTCTTACATATACATACCTCTATATTTAAAACATACAATTTGTTTATAACTATAAATTTTGAATTTGGATTCAGTGCATTCTCTCTGTATATATAAGTATAAACACAAGGAAGCACCGATTGTATTTCTAAATTTAATCTTAAGTCCTAAAATTATAATTACTATATTAATAAATAATCAATAATAACAATAACAATAATTAATAATATTCGATAATAATAGCGATCACATTGAAAATATTTCTCCATACTTAAATGTTAAAAAATTCTAAAACTATATCACTTAATTTATCATTTTTGGTTATTTTTTACAACTTGCTGGACTATACCCTCACAAAATTTTATAAACCTGTTTCGCGTACTTTTCTCAATCAATAGCTTATGTAAGTTTTCTTTCGTAACTTTTATATTTGTTTCGGATTCAAAGTTATACCTTGCTTTTGCGAACCGAGGACACTGCAGAAGTGTGTGCATCACTGTCGCCTCGATTTTGGGCTCACAGACACATGATGGGTTATCTTTGCATCGAAACCGGTACAGGTACTCAGAGAACCCACCATGTCCGGTCATTGCCTGAATCATCGTCGGAGACAGCGCTGTTTCCTTAACCACTTTGTGGGCTGACTCTGCGTCCGGCAGGAAGGCTTTTGTTGTTCTGGCGGTCTCTCCCTCTGTATATCTCCAGTTCCATTCTATTAGCGTTTCAGATCTAATGAGACGCTTTACGTGCGTGCGGCAGCGGGGTGGGTCGATAGTGGACGTCTCGTTTGCTAGCCCCTCTGTCGCCAGCCGAGTCCGCGACTGGCGTGTCGCCGCAGAGGTGGAGACGCTGTCGGCCCATCGGTATATCCGGTTCGACGTCTCTGCCCAGACTGCGAGCGGCCGCCATCCAACAACCCCGATTAACGACGGCCCGCGTTGGGCGCTTAAGCGCATCGACAGGGAACTACTCGAAGAAGCTGCCCTAGTCCAGTCCTGGATTCGGGAGTCGACGACGGACGGCCCCGTCGACGTCGAAGCGGTGGCGCTATGGTTTCGCGGGGCGATGACGCAGATCTGCGACGCGTCCATGCCCCGTGTCCACCAACGGTCCGCAAGGCGCCAGGTGTACTGGTGGACCGCCGAGATCGCCCAATTGCGCATAGCGTGCTTTGCGGCTCGTCGCCGGTACACCCGATACCGGAGGCGGCGTCGACGGGATCCCACCGAGGAGGACGCGCTGTATGAGGTGTACCGCGCGTCTAAGGAGACTCTGTGGCTGGCCATCGGCGACTCAAAGTCGCGTGCCAGGGAAGAGCTGCTGGGATCCCTAGATCGGGTTCCGTGGGGGCGCCCCTACCGTTGGGTACGGGGCAAGTTGCGTCCCTGGGCGCCTCCACTAACACAAACTATGCAACCCCAGTTGCTAGAGGCGGTGGTATCGGCTCTCTTCCCTGAGCGAGTGGGACACGTTCCCCCGGCGATGGCTTCGCCCTCAGCCACAGACTCTCCAGAAGAGGAGAGCACCGACGTCCCCGAGGTGACGCAAACAGAGACGAGAGCGGCCGTGTCGCGACTCCGGGCTAAGAACACAGCGCCCGGACCCGACGGAGTTCCTGGTCGAGCTCTCGTCCTGGCTCTGAAGGAGCTAGAGCCCCAGCTGAAAGGGCTCTTCACGGCATGTCTCGAGCAGGGTCAGTTTCCCAGTGTGTGGAAGGAGGGGAGGCTGGTCCTGCTCAGGAAGGAGGGGCGCCCCGCGGACTCACCGTCCGCGTACCGGCCCATAGTGCTGCTCGACGAGGCGGGCAAACTTCTTGAGCGCATCATCGCAGATCGCCTCGTCAGCCACTTGTGCAGAGAGGGGCCGGACCTGGACGAGAACCAGTTTGGTTTTCGTCGCGGGCGCTCCACCATAGACGCTATTACGCGCGTGAGGGCCCTGGCGGAGGAGACAGTATCCCGGGGTGGGGTGGTGCTGGCGGTGTCCTTAGACATCTCCAACGCCTTCAACACCCTACCCTGGAGTTGTATTCGGGAGGCGCTGAATTACCATCGCGTGCCTCCCTACCTCCGCCGCACAATAGGGGCTTACCTTGAGGAGAGATGCGTTACCTATTGGGGACGTGACGGCGCTGGTCGGCGCGTCATGTCGTGCGGTGTTCCGCAGGGATCGGTCTTGGGACCGCTCCTGTGGAACATCGGCTACGACTGGGTGCTGAGAGGTGAACTCCCGTCGGGCGCCGACTTGACGTGTTATGCGGACGACACGCTCGTCACTGCCCGGGGGAGTTCACACAGGGAAGCAGCGTTGGTTGCCACGGCTGCGGTGTCACAAGTGGTGAACCGCATCCGGCGCCTGGGCCTGGAGATGGCCCTAAATAAGTCGGAGGCCATGGTGTTCCATGGCCCTCGACGCGCGCCGCCGCCGGGTTCACACATCGTGGTCAGCGGGGCCCGGATAGCTGTCGAGTCCACCATGAAGTATCTGGGATTGGTGCTCGACAGCCGATGGGAATTCGGACCCCACTTGCGACGAGGGTGGAACACCATGGGGTTTTAGTCGGTGCGAGTCCGACATAACCCGTCCTTGCCCCCGCGAGGCGGGTATGCGTAGGCATTTCCCCATGTAAAAAAAAAAAAAAAAGGTTAGGTTAGGTTAGGTTTCCGGCGGCTGGCGCCCTAGCTGATGGGTGCAGCGGGCGCGCTATCAACGTTGCTTCCCAACTTGGGGGGCCCGAGCGCCGCCTGTAGGCGGTTGTACGTGGGAATCGTGCGGTCCATGGCCCTGTATGGGGCCCCTGTGTGGGCGATGGACATGACGGCCAGCACTCTCGTCATTCTGCGTAAACCGCAGAGGGCGATGGCCGTCAGAGTCGTCCGCGGGTATCGCACGATTTCCTACGAGGCGGCTTGCGTCCTGGCCGGATCCCCGCCCTGGGACCTAGAGGCGAAAGTACTCGCGTCATTATATCGATGGCGCGAGGAAGAGCGGGCACGGGGCTCGAGGCCGGTGCAGCGGCAGATCGCGCTGCGCCGAGAGGAGCTCCGTCAGGTCTTGGTGGCGGAATGGCGGCAAAGGCTTCTGCGCCCTACCGCCGGCCTCGCTACCGTCGAGGCGATCCGGCCAGTACTCGACGACTGGCTCGGGAGAAGGCACGGCTCCCTGTCGTTTAGGGTGACGCAGGTGCTGTCGGGGCATGGCTGCTTCGGCAAGTACCTGCGCCGCATAGACAGGGAGCCGGACGCTCGGTGTCACCACTGCGTCCATTGCGGGGAGGACACGGCGCAACACACGCTCGCCGAGTGTGTAGCTTGGGAGGAGCAGCGCCGTGTCCGATTCCCGCGGCCCCACGCGCACGTGTGAGGAGACACTGGGGTGGTTTTAGCCGGTAAGAGTCCGGCACGCCCCTCCGCCTTTCCCCAGGCGGAGGTAGTCCATGAGGATTTCCCCCCGTAAAAAAAAAAAAAAAAAAAAAGGTTAGGTTAGGTTAGGTTAGGTTAGGTTTGCAGTGGTGTCCTTCTGCGAGGACGTGATGTCGCAGAAGGAAACTGCGGAACGGGAAAGGGAGATCTCGACTCCCTTCCCCGGCCGCAGAAGGCGCACCGGGCGCAGGAGAAGGGCGGACAACGCCCTTTTCCGCCCCCCATAAATGGGTCCAGGGGCGAGGGACTTGGGGAAGCCCCCGCCACCCCTACTCGATGGACCCGAGGCGGAGGCGCGCGCGGGTGTCGGCGCGCGCCCCTGAGGCGATACACGGGGTAGTTTAACACCTCACTACCCCGTGCAGGAGACGAGGCCTGGACGGACCGGGCCAGCACTAGTGTGGGGCTGCGGAAGAATTTGGATTCCCGCGGCCCCACGCGCACGTGTGAGGAGACACCGGGGTGGTTTTAGCCGGTAAGAGTCCGGCACGCCCCTCCGCCTTTCCCCAGGCGGAGGTAGTCCATGAGGATTTCCCCCCGTAAAAAAAAAAAAAAAAAAAAGGTTAGGTTAGGTTAGGTTCCCCCCCGAACGGGTTCCCGCCTTGTCGTGGCGGGGGGGCTTAGTAGCCGTGGCTTGGTCAACCACGGTGAACAAAGAGGAACCCCTTGGCTGGCCCGTGGTGTAGGGCCGGCCCGAGGTGGCCACTCCGAGTGGGCTTGGGAAGCCCACTTCGGATGTGTGTCGGGGGGCTGCGGTGAGAGAGGAGTCCGCACCCTCTACCGCTGCAGCCGAGGTGGAGTCGCGGAGGAAGAGGAGTGTTGGTATGGCGATGCGCCACTCGCCCTATCCTCCGCGACTCAAACGGGGCCGCACCGTTGATGCGGTGGTGGTGGGGCCGCGGGGGGAGAGGAGTGTCGGTATTGCGAGGCGCCGCTCTCCCTACCCTCCGCGGCCGAAACTTGGTTGGCGGCGGAGCCCGAGACCAGATCCGCCGCTGGGGCCAGGAAGGCTGGTGCTTCTGAGTGCTAGTTTTTCCTGGCCCCATGGCCTTCGCGCATCGGACATGGGGGCGTCCGTTGCGCATTAGAAATTGGAGGCCGAGGAGGAGGGCGCACCATGTGTTCTGGTGCGCCTTACCTGAGAAGGAGATGGGGGAGGAGTGTTCCTCTCCCGAGGAGGAGCCGCCATGGGGCGGCCAGCGCAGGTGGGGCCGCGGAAGTGTGCGAAAGCGTTCCCGTGGCCCTGCCAATATGCGACGAGGGTGGAACACCATGGGGTTTTAGTCGGTGCGAATCCGACATAACCCGTCCTTGCCCCCGCGAGGCGGGTATGCGTAGGCATTTCCCCATGTAAAAAAAAAAAAAAAGGTTAGGTTAGGTTAGGTTAGTTTCCCCCCCGAACGGGTTCCCGCCTTGTCGTGGCGGGGGGGCTTAGTAGCCGTGGCTTGGTCACCCACGGTGAACAAAGAGGAACCCCTTGGCTGGCCCGTGGTGTAGGGCCGGCCCGAGGTGGCCACTCGGAGTGGGCTTGGGGAGCCCACTTCGGATGTGTGTCGGGGGGCTGCGGTGAGAGGGGAGTCCGCACCCTCTACCGCTGCAGCCGAGGTGGAGTCGCGGAGGAAGAGGAGTGTTGGTATGGCGATGCGCCACTCGCCCTATCCTCCGCGACTCAAACGGGGCCGCACCGTTGATGCGGTGGTGGTGGGGCCGCGGGGGGAGAGGAGTGTCGGTATTGCGAGGCGCCGCTCTCCCTACCCTCCGCGGCCGAAACTTGGTTGGGCGGCGGAGCCCGAGACCAGATCCGCCGCTGGGGCCAGGAAGGCTGGTGCTTCTGAGTGCTAGTTTTTCCTGGCCCCATGGCCTTCGCGCATCGGACACGGGGGCGTCCGTTGCGCATTAGAAATTGCAGGCCGAGGAGGAGGGCGCACCATGTGTTCTGGTGCGCCTTATCTGCGAAGGAGATGGGGGAGGAGTGTTCCTCTCCCGAGGAGGGGCCGCCATGGGGCGGCCAGCGCAGGTGGGGCCGCGGAAGTGTGCGAAAGCGTTCCCGAGGCCCTGCCAATATGCGACGAGGGTGGAACACCATGGGGTTTTAGTCGGTGCGAGTCCGACATAACCCGTTCTTGCCCCCGCGAGGCGGGTATGCGTAGGCATTTCTTCATGTAAAAAAAAAAAAAAAGGTTAGGTTAGGTTAGGTTAGCCCGGTGTCACCACTGCGTCCATTGCGGGGAGGACACGGCGCAACACACGCTCGCCGAGTGTGTAGCTTGGGAGGAGCAGCGCCGTGTCCTCACAAATAAAGTAGGAGGCGATCTGTCGCTGCCGGCCTTAGTGCGGAAGATGGTCGGTAGCGCAGAGTCGTGGGATGCGGTGGTGTCCTTCTGCGAGGACGTGATGTCGCAGAAGGAAACTGCGGAACGGGAAAGGGAGATCTCGACTCCCTTCCCTGGCCGCAGAAGGCGCACCGGGCGCAGGAGAAGGGCGGACAACGCCCTTTTCCGGCCCCCATAAATGGGTCCAGGGGCGAGGGACTTGGGGAAGCCCCCCGCCACCCCTACTCGATGGACCCGAGACGGATGCGCGCGCGGGTGTCGGCGCGCGCCTCTGAGGCGATACACGGGGTAGTTGAACACCTCACTACCCCGTGCAGGAGACGAGGCCTGGACAGACCGGGCCAGCACTAGTGTGGGGCTGCGGAAGAATTTGGATTCCCGCGGCCCCATGCGCACGTGTGAGGAGACACCGGGGTGGTTTTAGCCGGTAAGAGTCCGGCACGCCCCTCCGCCTTTCCCCAGGCGGAGGTAGTCCATGAGGATTTCCCCCCGTAAAAAAAAAAAAAGGTTACGTTAGGTTAGGTTAGGTTCCCCCCCGAACGGGTTCCCGCCTTGTCGTGGCGGGGGGGCTTAGTAGCCGTGGCTTGGTCAACCACGGTGAACGAAGAGGAACCCCTTGGCTGGCCCGAGGTGTAGGGCCGGCCCGAGGTGGCCACTCCGAGTGGGCTTGGGAAGCCCACTTCGGATGTGTGTCGGGGGGCTGTGGTGAGAGGGGAGTCCGCAACCCTCTACCGCTGCAGCCGAGGTGGAGTCGCGGAGGAAGAGGAGTGTTGGTATGGCGATGCGCCACTCGCCCTATCCTCCGCGACTCAGACGGGGCCGCACCGTTGAATGATGCGGTGGTGGTGGGGCTGCGGGGGGAGAGGAGTGTCGGTATTGCGAGGCGCCGCTCTCCCTATCCTCCGCAGCCGAATCTTGGTTGGCGGCGGAGCCATAGACCAGATCCGCCGCTGGGGTCGGGAAGGCTGGTGCTTCTTAGTGCTAGTTTTTCCTGGCCCCATGGCCTTCGCGCGACGGACGCGGGGGCGTCTGTTGCGCATTGGAAATTGGAGGCCGAGGAGGAGGGCGCGCCATGTGTTCTGGTGCGCCTTACCTGAGAGGGAGATGGGGGAGGAGTAGTCCTCTCCCGAGGAGGGGCCGCCATGGGGCGGCCAGCGCAGGTGGGGCCGCGGAGGTGTGCGAAAGCGTTCCCGTGGCCCTGCCAATATGCGACGAGGGTGGAACACCATGGGGTTTTAGTCGGTGCGAGTCCGACATAACCCGTCCTTGCCCCCGCGAGGCGGGTATGCGTAGGCATTTCCCCATGTAAAAAAAAAAAAAAAAAAAGGTTAGGTTAGGTTAGGTTAGGTTTCCATTGCGGCCCGTGTGGAGTTGCCAGAACTCCCATCGGGCGCGTCCCCAGGTGGCGGATAGGGGAACGCCACTCAGATATGAGTGGTAGCGGGAAACCGTCGCGGACCAAAACTGGCTGGCTGAGGGCTTGTTTGGGTAATGGAGGGCCTTCTAGTTGCTTCCTGTATCCTCTCCGTTGAGAGGAACAGAGAATGTGACATGCGCGGTGAGGTGCCAGGTGCACTCGGCTTTTGCCGACGCCGGGCAACCCGTAATTGCGGGATTTTCAGGGACCACACCCTGTAAAAAAAAGGAAACTGAATGGGCTCAGTGTTCCCTCACCCGGTCTCTGAGCAGGCATGGGAAGAACCCATATCGACTCTGCCACCATTCGAACCTCGGAATCCCTCTGGCGTGTCGTGGATCACGTCTCGCGGCGCCTTAGGGGCCGAGGGCTCTTGGCTTAACCGCCTGGAGTCGCGAGGATGATAACCTCTTTAAAAAATCACCCGAAGCTCAAGCGTGGCACGCCGTGAGGAGCTGCATGGCTGATGGGTAAATGTTCAGTCGTTAGCGTTGCCCCCGTCGGGGTACCGGCCGACACCCTTGACGGGTTACGCATAGGCTTATCCGGGCACAGGAGGCACTGCTCGGATGGACTGCTATTTCCTCCACACTCGTGGGATAAAACATGGATAAATATAAAATAATTAAAAACGTAGAGGTTGAAAAGGAGGCAGTATCAGATACTGGAAGCGGTGGAAATCGGTCGCGTGGGACGTCTTCCGCTAGGAAACGTCCAGTGTGCCGGTCTTCAGAAGAGGAAGGCCTGCCGGCTCCCAAGTTGCCGACTTCGGGGAGGGGTCGGCAGGCATCGAGAGGGGCGAGTGCTTCGCAGCCGCGGAGGGATAAGCACGGACGATTCGTGTGCTCCAATACCTCGGCGGCTAGTGAAGCAGATAGTGACATGGGGTTCACTACGGAGGACCCTGGCGATGGCGGTGAAAGCTGTGCCTCGCTGGGGAGCTCAAAGGCGGAGCTCAATGCCGCCAAGAGGGAGCAGCGCAAAGCCGTCGCGGCCGACGAAGTGTCGGAAATGGCCCGACGTGCTCGCGAGCGACGAGCTGCTCTTGCGGCGGAAGGGGGAGAGCCATCTGCGGTGGCCTTAAGCCAGCTGGCTCTGGATGGGGTGGACTTAGTCCTGAAGGTTGCCACCAAGTCTGGCAGCCTGAAGGGCACGTTCACCCGTGGCTTAAAGGAGGCTGCCGCGGATATCAGGGAGGCGGTTGGCATCCTCCTCAACAGGACGGCCTCTGACGAGGTCGCAAAGTTGCAGGAGGAAAACAGCCGCCTCAGAAATGACTTGGAGGACCTCCGACGGCAAGTCGCTGCGCTGAGCGAAGAGCAGCAGCGACGCACGTCCACCGATGCCGCACCTGTAGTGGCCCCGACTCCCGCACCGCAACCGGCAAGCCCTCGTACCGACGAAGAGGTCGAGCGCATTGTCCGGATCTGCATGCTCCAGTGCGGGAGCATGGTTAATGCTCGGCTGGAGGCGATTTCACGGCGTCTCCCGGCGGAAATCCTCCGTCCGCCTTTGGCGGCGGACACTCGGAGAACTGAGGAGCCGCCGAGACTTGCGCCTCAAAAGGGGAAGCCCGCGGAGGGTAATAAAAAGCCCGCGGAGGGAGCTCCTCCGAGCAACCAGCCCACGACTGCCGGGTCTAAGGGTGAGACCTGGGCGAAAGTCGTGGGCCGCAAGAAGGCCCGCAAAGCCGCCAAGAAGGCCGCAGCAGCCGCATGTGCCCCAGGGGGAACCACAAAGACGGCTCCTAAACCTGCACAGCGGACTGCCAAAGGCGGTCGCAAGAGACCGGCTGTACATGTTCCGCGGTCCAGCGCTGTGACAATAACGTTGCAGCCTGGAGCTGTGGAGCGTGGCGTGACGTACCAGTCGGTCATCGCCGAGGCCAAGGCCAAGATCAAATTATCTGATCTTGGCCTTCAGTCCGTCACCCTCAGGCAGGCTGCCACGGGTGCACGGCTGTTCGAGGTGGCTGGCACTGTGAGCGGCAGTGCCGAAAAGGCGGACGCACTGGCCGCCAAGATGAGGGAGGTCCTCAACCCTGAGGACGTCCGGGTCTCCAGACCAATGAAAACCGCAGAGGTGCGGATTGCTGGCCTGGACGACTCCGTGACCTCTGAGGAGGTGGTGGCGGCCGTTGCCAGAAGCGGAGAGTGTCCGCCGGACAAGGTGCGGGCTGGCGATATACGCACCGACGCCACCGGACTCGGCGCGGTCTGGGTTCGGTGCCCTGTAGCGTCGGCGAAGAAGATCGCCGATAGCGGCAGATTGCTGGTAGGCTGGGTGGCGGCTAGGACCAAGCTCTTACAGCCCCGGGCTTTGCAGTGCTTTCGGTGCCTAGAAAAAGGGCACGTCCGGGCGAAGTGCACCGCCGAGGTTGACCGTAGTGACCTCTGTTATCGCTGCGGCCAGCCTGGCCACAAGGCTGCCCTGTGCACCGCGGCGCTAAACTGCAGCCTTTGTTCTGCTGCGGGAAGGCCAGCGGAGCACAGAGTAGGCGGAGGGGCCTGTGGGGCGCCTGCCAGCAAGAAGAAGAAAAAAGAAAAGAAGAGGAGTACTAAGCCTGCCGGGTTAACCTCGCTGCCCCCGCAGGCTAGCAGCTCCGCGGCCGACTCCCGGCCCAGGACCGTTGCTGAGGGGATGGAATGTCAATAATGGCACAATTCCATTTTCTCCAGGGCAACATCAACCACTGTGCCAGAGCTCAGGATCTCCTACTCCAGAGCATGGCAGAGTGGTCGATTCACGTGGCTGTGGTCGCCGAACCGTACTTCATTCCCGCCCGTGACAACTGGTTGGGATGCGCTGACGGTTTGGTGGCCATTATTGGCGAGACTCTGATCGACCCGTCTCGGGGCCGCGGCTGGGTTGCTGCGGTCTCGGGCGGCATCGTTATTGTAGGGGCGTATTTCTCCCCCAACAAGAGTCTCGCCGACTTTGAGGGTTTCCTTGTCGAGTTGGGCGCCGTCGTAGGCCGCTATCACCCTCGTCCCGTTCTGGTGCTCGGGGATCTCAACGCCAAGTCATCGGCGTGGGGATCTCCAGTCACTGACCCTCGGGGCGAGGTGTTAGAAGAGTGGACGGTGACGACTGGTCTGGTCGTCCTGAATCGGGGTTCGGAATACACGTGCGTGCGGCAGCGGGGTGGGTCGATAGTGGACGTCTCGTTTGCTAGCCCCTCTGTCGCCAGCCGAGTCCGCGACTGGCGTGTCGCCGCAGAGGTGGAGACGCTGTCGGACCATCGGTATATCCGGTTCGACGTCTCTGCCCAGACTGCGAGCGGCCGCCATCCAACAACCCCGATTAACGACGGCCCGCGTTGGGCGCTTAAGCGCATCGACAGGGAACTACTCGAAGAAGCTGCCCTAGTCCAGTCCTGGATTCGGGAGTCGACGACGGACGGCCCCGTCGACGTCGAAGCGGTGGCGCTATGGTTTCGCGGGGCGATGACGCAGATCTGCGACGCGTCCATGCCCCGTGTCCACCAACGGTCCGCAAGGCGCCAGGTGTACTGGTGGACCGCCGAGATCGCGCAATTGCGCATAGCGTGCGTTGCGGCTCGTCGCCGGTACACCCGATACCGGAGGCGGCGTCGACGGGATCCCACCGAGGAGGACGCGCTGTATGAGGTGTACCGCGCGTCTAAGGAGACTCTGTGGCTGGCCATCGGCGACTCAAAGTCGCGTGCCAGGGAAGAGCTGCTGGGATCCCTAGATCGGGATCCGTGGGGGCGCCCCTACCGTTGGGTACGGGGCAAGTTGCGTCCCTGGGCGCCTCCACTAACACAAACGATGCAACCCCAGTTGCTAGAGGCGGTGGTATCGGCTCTCTTCCCTGAGCGAGTGGGACACGTTCCCCCGGCGATGGCTTCGCCCTCAGCCACAGACTCTCCAGAAGAGGAGAGCACCGACGTCCCCGAGGTGACGCAAACAGAGACGAGAGCGGCCGTGTCGCGACTCCGGGCTAAGAACACAGCGCCCGGACCCGACGGAGTTCCTGGTCGAGCTCTCGTCCTGGCTCTGAAAGAGCTAGAGCCCCAGCTGAGAGGGCTCTTCACGGCATGTCTCGAGCAGGGTCAGTTTCCCAGTGTGTGGAAGGAGGGGAGGCTGGTCCTGCTCAGGAAGGAGGGGCGCCCCGCGGACTCACCGTCCGCGTACCGGCCCATAGTGCTGCTCGACGAGGCGGGCAAACTTCTTGAGCGCATCGTCGCAGATCGCCTCGTCAGCCACTTGTGCAGAGAGGGGCCGGACCTGGACGAGAACCAGTTTGGTTTTCGTCGCGGGCGCTCCACCATAGACGCTATTACGCGCGTGAGGGCCCTGGCGGAGGAGACAGTATCCCGGGGTGGGGTGGTGCTGGCGGTGTCCTTAGACATCTCCAACGCCTTCAACACCCTACCCTGGAGTTGTATTCGGGAGGCGCTGAATTACCATCGCGTGCCTCCCTACCTCCGCCGCACAATAGGGGCTTACCTTGAGGAGAGATGCGTTACCTATTGGGGACGTGACGGCGCTGGTCGGCGCGTCATGTCGTGCGGTGTTCCGCAGGGATCGGTCTTGGGACCGCTCCTGTGGAACATCGGCTACGACTGGGTGCTGAGAGGTGAACTCCCGTCGGGCGCCGACTTGACGTGTTATGCGGACGACACGCTCGTCACTGCCCGGGGGAGTTCACACAGGGAAGCAGCGTTGGTTGCCACGGCTGCGGTGTCACAAGTGGTGAACCGCATCCGGCGCCTGGGCCTGGAGGTGGCCCTAAATAAGTCGGAGGCCATGGTGTTCCATGGCCCTCGACGCGCGCCGCCGCCGGGTTCACACATCGTGGTCTGCGGGGCCCGGATAGCTGTCGAGTCCACCATGAAGTATCTGGGATTGGTGCTCGACAGCCGATGGGAATTCGGACCCCACTTCCGGCGGCTGGCGCCCAAGCTGATGGGTGCAGCGGGCGCGCTATCAACGTTGCTTCCCAACTTGGGGGGCCCGAGCGCCGCCTGTAGGCGGTTGTACGTGGGAATCGTGCGGTCCATGGCCCTGTATGGGGCCCCTGTGTGGGCGATGGACATGACGGCCAGCACTCTTGCCATTCTGCGTAAACCGCAGAGGGCGATGGCCGTCAGAGTCGTCCGTGGGTATCGCACGATTTCCTACGAGGCGGCTTGCGTCCTGGCCGGATCCCCGCCCTGGGACCTAGAGGCGAAAGTACTCGCGTCATTATATCGATGGCGCGAGGAAGAGCGGGCACGGGGCTCGAGGCCGGTGCAGCGGCAGATCGCGCTGCGCCGAGAGGAGCTCCGTCAGGTCTTGGTGGCGGAATGGCGGCAAAGGCTTCTGCGCCCTACCGCCGGCCTCGCTACCGTCGAGGCGATCCGGCCAGTACTCGACGACTGGCTCGGGAGAAGACACGGCTCCCTGTCGTTTAGGGTGACGCAGGTGCTGTCGGGGCATGGCTGCTTCGGCAAGTACCTGCGCCGCATAGACAGGGAGCCGGACGCTCGGTGTCACCACTGCGTCCATTGCGGGGAGGACACGGCGCAACACACGCTCGCCGAGTGTGTAGCTTGGGAGGAGCAGCGCCGTGTCCTCACAAATAAAGTAGGAGGCGATCTGTCGCTGCCGGCCTTAGTGCAGAAGATGGTCGGTAGCGCAGAGTCGTGGGATGCAGTGGTGTCCTTCTGCGAGGACGTGATGTCGCAGAAGGAAACTGCGGAACGGGAAAGGGAGATCTCGACTCCCTTTCCTGGCCGCAGAAGGCGCACCGGGCGCAGGAGAAGGGCGGACAACGCCCTTTTCCGGCCCCCATAAATGGGTCCAGGGGCGAGGGACTTGGCGAAGCCCCCGCCACCCCTACTCGATGGACCCGAGGCGGAGGCGCGTGCGGGTGTCGGTGCGCGCCCCTGAGGCGATACACGGGGTAGTTTAACACCTCACTACCCCGTGCAGGAGACGAGGCCTGGACGGACCGGGCCAGCACTAGTGTGGGGCTGCGGAAGAATTTGGATTCCCGCGGCCCCACGCGCACGTGTGAGTAGACACCGGGGTGGTTTTAGCCGGTAAGAGTCCGGCACGCCCCTCCGCCTTTCCCCAGGCGGAGGTAGTCCATGAGGATTTCCCCCCGTAAAAAAAAAAAAAAAAGGTTTCCATTGCGGGGAGGACACGGCGCAACACACGCTCGCCGAGTGTGTAGCTTGTGAGGAGCAGCGCCGTGTCCTCACAAATAAAGTAGGAGGCGATCTGTCGCTGCCGGCCTTAGTGCGGAAGATGGTCGGTAGCGCAGAGTCGTGGGATGCGATGGTGTCCTTCTGCGAGGACGTGATGTCGCAGAAGGAAACTGCGGAACGGGAAAGGGAGATCTCGACTCCCTTCCCTGGCCGCAGAAGGCGCACCGGGCGCAGGAGAAGGGCGGACAACGCCCTTTTCCGGCCCCCATAAATGGGTCCAGGGGCGAGGGGCTTGGGGAAGCCCCCCGCCACCCCTACTCGATGGACCCGAGACGGATGCGCGCGCGGGTGTCGGCGCGCGCCCCTGAGGCGATACACGGGGTAGTTGAACACCTCACTACCCCGTGCAGGAGACGAGGCCTGGACAGACCGGGCCAGCACTAGTGTGGGGCTGCGGAAGAATTTGGATTCCCGCGGCCCCATGCGCACGTGTGAGGAGACACCGGGGTGGTTTTAGCCGGTAAGAGTCCGGCACGCCCCTCCGCCTTTCCCCAGGCGGAGGTAGTCCATGAGGATTTCCCCCCGTAAAAAAAAAAAAAAAAAAAGGTTAGGTTAGGTTAGGTTACGTTCCCCCCGAACGGGTTCCCGCCTTGTCGTGGCGGGGGGCTTAGTAGCCGTGGCTTGGTCACCCACGGTGAACAAAGAGGAACCCCTTGGCTGGCCCGTGGTGTAGGGCCGGCCCGAGGTGGCCACTCCGAGTGGGCTTGGGAAGCCCACTTCGGATGTGTGTCGGGGGGCTGCGGTGAGAGGGGAGTCCGCACCCTCTACCGCTGCAGCCGAGGTGGAGTCGCGGAGGAAGAGGAGTGTTGGTATGGCGATGCGCCACTCGCCCTATCCTCCGCGACTCAGACGGGGCCGCAACGTCAATTGATGCGGTGGTGGTGGGGCTGCGGGGGGAGAGGAGTGACGGTATTGCGAGGCGCCGCTCTCCCTACCCTCCGCAGCCGAATCTTGGTTGGCGGCGGAGCCATAGACCAGATCCGCCGCTGGGGTCAGGAAGGCTTGTGCTAATGAGTGCTAGTTTTTCCTGGCCCCATGGCCTTCGCGCATCGGACACGGGGGTGTCCGTTGCGCATGTGAAACTGGAGGCCGAGGAGGAGGGCGCGCCATGTGTTCTGGTGCGCCTTACCGGAGAGGGAGATGGGGGAGGAGTAGTCCTCTCCCGAGGAGGGGCCGCCTTGGAGTGGCCAGCGCAGGTGGGGCCGCGGAAGTGTGCGAAAGCGTTCCCGTGGCCCTGCCAATATGCGACGAGGGTGGAACACCATGGGGTTTTAGTCGGTGCGAGTCCGACATAACCCGTCCTTGCCCCCGCGAGGCGGGTATGCGTAGGCATTTCCCCATGTAAAAAAAAAAAAAAAAAAAAAAAAAAAAAAAAAAAAAAAAAAAAGGTTAGGTTACGTTAGGTTAGGTTTTTTTTTTTTTTACTAGTTCCCCCTAA